CGAGTGTGACAGTACATGACTACTCCCATTCATTAAACCCCGGTGAATAACTATATGAACAGACATTATTTGTAATGGCATACAAAGATATTTCATTTACACCTGCGGTTCCATCTTTATCATTAAAAATATGCTTTGGGGAACCCTGCACTGACATGTACTAAAAACTATCTGGATGCTTAATCTTTACTAAAATATCTCAAAATGTTCAGGGTTTGTAGCTAATATAAGAGCTCATCTGGATTCCTTTGCAAAAACAACAACAACAAAAATGGCATCAATGCCTTTTGCCTGTGTACTAATAAAAAACACTACACATTTAGGGATATGAGATTGATGTGGCATAGGTGCTGGGTATAGGTGATTCATTTAGAGCTGATAGAGGTATTATAGCAAAAAGTTTCAGCCCAATAACCTTTTATTTTTTTATATTCATCTTTTTAGATTTCTGACAGCTTGTAGATTCTTCTGCTTCAAGTTGAGTAATGTAATATTTGAAACATAGCTGCGAGGGAATGTTCAAGACATTTCAGTGTACAGACTCAAATCTACTTTAAAAACAAAAATAAACAGAAAATCTATACCTTTTTCTATTGGTAAAATATTTGTATTAGCTAACTTATGTTTTACTAATATTTTGTAAACATTTATGTATAATGCTTGAAAGAATTCGAGTAAGGCAGAAAAAAATTTTTATTATATTGTTAAAGTGATCATTTTGTCAGATTTCTTATAGCTATTTAGGCTTTGTTGTGTTGATTCTAAAAGTATTCTAATACCAAGAAATTCTTAATATATCCTGGCAATAATAAAAGAAATAATCAGATATTTTGACCAAAACAACTTCATAAAATATTGACTATACAAATCATATTAAGGGTCTCAACATATTTGCAAAAAAAATGGAATGAAAATGCAAGGTTTTCATTCAAGTAGTTTTTGGACATACATTTTTTAAATAGACATTTTCATGAACTTTTGAATATCCTGGTATTTAAGTGCTCTGTTAGCTTTTTCTTTTTTTTTTTTAACCAGAGAGTATTTGTATGCAACCATTTAATTAACACACTACTACTGGGTGTATTATAAGCTGGAATCTCAGAGGGGGATAGAGCATTAAGTTAATATTTACAGGTCAAAATAACAGCAGTTCCTGTATAAGAAAAGATGGATCAGAGGGCATTTAGATCACATTAAAAAAAAATTCTCATGTATGAAAGCTGCCTGGGGGTTCTAGGAAAAGAAAAGAGAATAATACAATAAAAAACACTCAAAATCCCCAAAGAGAACCCGTGCATGGACTCCTCTCATTGTAAAATAAATGTTTTTTTTTTCTTTTCTATTTTTAGGTTTCCAGTAACTTCAGCTCTTTCATCTTTGCTATTTTGGAGAACCATGGGCACGGAGGTGAGGCAAGAGATCCAGGGTAAGTGTAAATTGATATTGCTTTAGCCGTGAGAGCCGAACAAGTGGTAATCACAGCAGGAGTACACTTTAGAAAAACATGATAATGATCTGCCACCAAGTGTGGAAACTGAGCAAGCAAGGGTTTCCAGTAAATGTGAGAAATACTCGATCTTTCTTTCTCTGCACAATACTAAAATATTTGGACATCATGTGAAAAATGCAAACAGTGGAGACATTCATTGTTCGTGGTTTGTGGAAACCAACAATGACTATTGCTTCTTCAACATAGCACCTGGAGTGAGGTCATCTTTAGTCACAGCTTATAAAGAAAACTTGCATCTGCTTAAGCCATTAATAAACACAAGGCAACAATTAGATTTCATTTCCAATATAGATACATTTTATGCTTTCCTATCCTTTATTGTTGGGAGGAAATTGATCTGTTGCTTTGCAAAATGACAATAGACAATATATATATGTATATATATATGTATATATATGTATATATATGTATATATATGTATATATATAGACAATATACATGTATATCTATGTATATATATGTATATATACAAGTATATATACATTGCATTATACCAGAATATATTCATTCTAGATCATTACGGCTTAGATTTTCAAAAAACATGCTTTTCCATTCTATCAAATCTGCCTTCTATGTATTTTTCAAATATCTCTCAGATGAAAAAAACAAGAACTTGCTTGAAGTTACTGTGGTATTTCTTTCAGCTAGATCACTATGAACACATTTTAAATTGATTTATTGTATATGACAATCTGGAAGTTTAATAAGAAAAGCACTTTTTGATAGTCTAATTGTTTTAAAGAATATATATGTACTAGGGTTATGATCACAGGCACTATCAGGGCATGATACTGCAATTAATTTATTCATGTCCTTATAAAGTTTCAGAATGAACTTTCCTGAATGAGAACACTTAGGTGCCACAAGGGATTTATTTACTATTGCGAGATTAAAAATACGTTAAATACAAGATAACTGTCAGGCTCATCTTAAAGGAAAAAGGTTTGCTAGCATTCTCAAGCAAGAAGGGAGAGAGAATGTGGGAGGGAAGAGGGTAAAGAGTCCAGCAAATAACAAAGATGATGACATGCAGAGAAAAGATACTGTACAGGAAGTGTATTTGCTACAAGTTTAGACTATCACCGTCCGCTAGGTGAATTCATTTCACACACCGTAAGTGGCTACCAGTGTCAAGGAGTAACAAATTTAGCCAACCTAGAATACGGAGAAATTATGAAACCTACAATGCCCAGCCAGTTTTAAGACATTTTAACACCACATGTAAGGAACACGAGAGCATCAAAATACTATTCTGCAGTCATCCGTGAAAGTAACATCTACAACCTGAGCCTAATTAGGATGATGAAAAACCCCGCCTGAAGATTTAATATAATTAAAAAGAAAAAATGACACTTAACAACCAACAGTGAAAAAAAAAAATACAATCTCCGTGAAGAGCAGAGAAGAATGGATACAAAGGCTGTGAACCATAAGCAATCATTTTTTACACTTTGCAGTTTTTAATCTATCATGCAAAAGAAACAATTGCTCACAAATACTATTCCTTAATCATGTTCAAAATCTCTTTTCTATTACACACAGTTAAGTCTGAGCACTTTAAACTATATGCTCTTTTCTCAAAAGCACCTCCGTATGTCAAACAACCATGGCAAGAAAACACATCCATGAAAGACACACATTTGAATCTTCTCCATGTCTGTTAAAGAAAAAAATTTTCCTACCTCATGTTTTCTTGGATGATGAGATTCTAGCCCCCAACCAGTCAGGTTTATAATTTGCTTTCAAAACCATTTTCCTCTTAATGAATCAAATGTATGGTATCTATTTAAACTTTACAAATATGAGTACACTAGTATTTACAGCAGAGGAACATGATTTAATAGAAATGAGTAAGAAACTTGATCTTCAGGAAACAATCATTCATGAGAAACTCTGGTATTAAGCTAATTCAAACAGACTATTCTACTATTTAAAATAGTTACTTTAATAGTAACTCAGCATTTCCCAAAATTAGGTACTGCATTCTTAGTTATTGACCTTTGGAAATTTTGTAGCTTCAGCTGGATTAATAAATAGCATAGAATGTTGAATTGTTTTAAAAGCTCAAATGTTCTGAAGCTTGAAAATTATTAGAAAGCCTGTTTTAATCAAAATGAGAAATTAAGACCTTTTTTTGGCCTTAAATGAAATACATTTCTCATGAGTACGAAGCATGAAAGTAAAATCTGTCTCACTTAAAGCAGCCATGATCATTCTTTTTTCCAGTGAAGTCACCTCCTAAGTGAGTTGAAGTTGTGGCAGATTCTGTAACAGTTCACTGGACCTCATTATTCTCTGAGTCATGTAATTGAATGATTCCAAGTAATAACACCATAACAGTGTCTGTAAATCAGAGAATCCTGTTCTGGAGACCAAGAACCAGAGGCCAAGAAGGACCCATCCCACACAGCGTACAGTCTCAGTGATGTCCCCAGAATCTCAGTGCATTAAAGGAGGTTCACATGACAAATAAGGTAATTTCTGGAACTCTAGCTGACCATGCATTCTTATGTCCTTTAACACCCAGTTTTATCAGTCATCTACAGTATTCTGAGATAGAAAAAAAAAAAAAAACCAAACCAACATAAAATTAATCAATGACATCCAAATAAAATGAACTGATATTAACAATTTAGTTTTTTTTCCCTAACAGTGCTTTTCAAAGATAACAAAAGCCTAATCAGAGTAGTTTTTAATAGAACTCATCCACAGGAAACTGTGTCTAAAAGAGTTTTCAAACATATTTCTGGTTAGTGTTGTGACGGACTTTCCATTGTTGGCTTTTGAATTCAGCTGTTTGCTACACAGTCATTATTTCTTCAGGAAGAAGAATTAAAAAAAAAAAAAAACCTCTCTGTTACTACTGCAGCTGCTTCTACCAAGCAACAAAAGTTGCTGGGAAAAAAATCATATATACACATACATGTAAAATTAGGGAAACAAGCTGTTTTATTGCTCGATTTAAAATAAGCTCAATCAGTAGGAAAGAAAAATGCTATAATACACAGCTTGATGAGCAGCTGAGGACAAAAATACACTCAGTTGCAGTTTTAGAATTTGAAAAATATCATATTCAATGAAGTTTGAGAAGGAGGACATCTCTTCTCTTACTTTTTTCTAAATCACTTAATTATCATGTGGCATTTATGTGGAGAACATTTCCCAAGGCAGGCATTAAAAAGTTTCTTATATATCACCCCAAAGTTTTACAGGCGTTATAATGTCCTGCTCTTACTCCATTCTAATTTTGAATCTTACTTACAAAAATTCTTGATTAAAATCTGTCTGTCACAAATCTGCCAAGAAATTTATGTTTTGCTGAACTGATTGCACATACTCAACCTTCGGAACGAAACTGCATTGCGAGAAAAAAGTGAAAAATATGGATTCATAAAAAGAAAGATTAAAGCAACAGGCATTTTAACCATTGTTTCTTGGTCTTTGAGAAAAAGACATGGAAAGCATTTGAAAAATATAAGAACAGTCTTACTCTTGACGGTTGCTGTCCGGGTGCAGTTATAAAGAATGGCCAACTCCCCAAACACTTTTCCTGGACCCATGGTGCACAGCTTCACACCTTCTTTGGTAACTTCAACCTTCCCATCTAAAAAGCAAAGGGGAAAAGATTTTGTTTTAATTATTTTTCTTGCTCAATGTCATTTGTTGCATTTCAAATGTAACATGACAATTACAGCCTCATACTTTAAATCAGAATGCTGACACTTAAAGTTACTTAGATGCCATGCAAGAACTGCAGCAAAATAAAAGTGAAAAACTGCCTATCTCCTACTAAATTCATCACAGTGAATGACATTTGAGATGAGAATCAAAGAAAAGAAACAAACGATGGAGTTACAAATGTAAATATTCCAAATGTGATATAAGTAAACAATGATAATTCTAAACTTAACATCATCTTGATTCTGAAAAAAACTAGAGTAAACGGACATATTTCCTATAGCACATTTTCATATTTGGAAATTTTTATTTAAGTGGCTATTCATAAAGAAGGAAATTTTTTTCACCTTCAGCCATTACTGAATTGTACTTCATAATCTTTTCATTTGTGAACAACTGACTTCAACAAAACTGTTTATATGCTTCATAGGCCCAAGATTCTAGAAGAAATCTTGATTATAGATGAAAATGAGGAGCCAGTATTGTGGCATAGTGAGCTCAGTTGCCACTTGCAATGTCAGCATTCTTTAAGGGCACCAGTTCTAGTCCCTGTTGCTCCACTTTCTGGTCTGGCTCCATGCTAATGTGCCTAGGAAGCAGGGCAAGTTGGACTAAATGCTTAGGCCCCTGCACATACATGAGATCTAGAAGAAAGTCCCAGCTCCTGACTTCCCCCTGGCCCAGCCCTGTATACTGTGGCCATTCAAGGGGGTAAATTAGCATATGGAAGGCCTCTCTTATCCTGTCTCTCCCAGTGCATATAACTCTGTCCTTAAAATAAATAAATCTAGAAAAAAGAAAGAGAAAATGAATTATAAGAGATATGGGTAATAAGAAAATAGGAAGATCTACATTCCACATAGGACTTAGAAATTGAATATCAAACAAGAAAAAGCTAAGAGAACATCACACATTGATGTATACTTCTGTAGGCAAGTGAGGAAAATACAATTTATGGAGGGAAAGTTGAAAATGACACCTAAAAACCTATAGCTATGTGGACTAAAAATTCTATTGCTTAACACAACCAGGAGAGGAATGAAAAGGCAACACACTCTATGCTAGACTTAGTAATATTCTTTTATTATTCCTTGTGTTACTGATCCAGAATCTAGAGAAAATTCTACTGCCTGGCAAAAGAATTTCATCATCATGAAAAGGAACTACTACTACAACAATTATTTCCAAACTTCAGGTCTTTATAGTTAGTTTCATAGCTATTCTTATAACTGTATGCTTCCTATATTTAACTTAAGAATGTTCACTTTTTCCTAATACTTTTTTATGTTAATGTAATGTTAATAAAATCAGAAAAATTGCAACATAGCTCACAGACCCAATCCCAAAGAAACATAGTTCCTTCTTCCCTCCTTTCCCTCTTTCCTGCTTTCTTTCCTCCCTTCCTCTCTTCCTTCCTCCTTTCCTTCATTTTTGGGATAAAACATGTTAAACTAATACTTTTAAAACATTTCAATTATTATTAATATTAATTAATATTAAGGTTTTAAATTAATATTACCCTCAAGGGCTTAGTATTCCACTAAATAAAGATACCAAAATGTAAAAAAAAAAAAAAGAACCTAGTGTATCAGTAATATAATCAAGGGCTTTAAATAATAATCAAATGGAAAGATGGCCACTAAATTCACTCTTTCTCTTAAACACACAAAACATAACGTTGATTTGAAAGGCAGAACAATCAAAGTTGGGGGATGGAAAACAGATGCATGTGCACGTACACACACACATATTTATTTATTGGTTGACTCTCCAAATGGTTTCAACAATCTTATCTGGACCAGGCAAAAGATAGGAGCCAGGAACTCCATTTTGGTCACCCCCATGGCTGGCAGGGACCCAAAGTACTTGAGCCATCATTCAGGGAAATTAGCAGGAATCTGGATCAGAAGAGGAATAGCCATGACTTGAACCAGCATTGTGATATGGGATGCCAGTGTGACAATACTGACCCCCATGTATGTATATAAAACATGCACTTAAATCTTGTTTACTGTTATTTATTTGAAAGGCACACACACATACAAATTTTCCATCTAGCAATTCATTCTCCAAATGCCTGCAATGATAAGGCAGAGCTAAAATGAAACCAGGAGGATGAATTCCATCTTGTTCTCCCACAAGAGTAACAGGAACCCACCTACTTGAGCCATCATCATTGGCTGCCTCTCAAATGCACTGATGGGAAGCTGGTAGAGGTAGGATTCCACCTCATGATGCTGAGGTGTTCCAAGCAGCAGCTCATGATCTGGACTCTTTTTGATTCCAAATCAATCCAGACTTACTCAAGCAACATTTGCAAAAACCACAGATGTGATGTGCTATTTGCTTTCAACAATGAGATACAATCTTAAATATGAAAAATATTGAAATTCAATGTGTGTACACAAGTAGAGTCAATCAAATATTCAAGTCGCTTATGATTTACTTCTTCACTGCTGGAAAAAACTATTTCTTAATATGTACATTGAAACTGGTGCAGTAAATCTTTGTATATGTTTCATGTGTCCATGACATTTTCCAGTAAGAAGTGAATGCCCCTAGAAATTTCACCTTCCACTTAAAAATGGGATACAGGCCAGATGATAACATAAATTAAACATCTAAAGTCAGCCCAGGAATTGAGTTCTTGATCTCTCATCTGTTGCTTACTGGCTACATGACCTTGGGTAAATTGCTTAACTTGCTTATGCTTCTATTTTTTCATCGGTAAAATGAATAACATAAAAAGAATTACCTCACTGCAAGGTTACTAAAACAAATTCATTTGATAAACAGTTTAGGAATGACTGACACGTAACAAATGCTCAATAAATGCTTTTCTTATTATTGGTGTACAGTTTGCTATATTTCTTTCCTATGATTTATTTGAAGGTATAATTTGATTACATTGAAGCATAATATTTCATCATCTCCTACAAATTCTTCTTGTAAAATAACAGATTTTTTTTAATGAAAGAAGAGTTTACTTTCAGGTGCTGTGTTTCAATGGAGGTTAAGGAGAAGCCTTTGAGTTTGAATCAGTATCATCCCCAAGAACAAAGACGAAGCTCCAGAAATCATATTGATCTCATTGGAAGACAACAGTGTCTTTGTACTCTCCTCCACTTCCTCCTGTTCAGCCAACAGTTGAGATAATGTTGCTTTATCTACCACAGTCTTTGGGAGCTCACAAAAATAGTGTAACAACTTTCATTTTAAAATGAAAGTTCATGTAAAATTTTTTTTATCTGTATGCTTTAACATCAGTCATATTAATAGCTCTCACAGCAAAATCAATAGTGCCTAAACAATTTCCATATATAAATCATTTTACATAAGTGGGCTTCTTTCTCTTCAGTTTTGACAGAGATTTTCAGAAAAGAAAAAATGGGATCAAGAAAGGGCTGCTTGCTCAGACAACCACCAGCACACTTCAAAGACAAGAGTGAACACCATGACTATTGTTATAGTGTATTAGTTTCTTAAAGAAAACTTGTGCAACCATCACATAAGAACTTATACATTTCACATATTTCTTCCATTGAAAGTTTCACACATCTATCCACCATGATGATTACAATATTTGGTTCTGTTACTATTATCATCCATGTTGATATAAAACATTCTCATATGACCCCTGGAAGAATTACAGCAAGAATCGGACAAAATTCTTGTTTAAAATGTGTGTGCAATTTTACTTGTGGCTTCAACTTACTTGCCTGGTCTTATTTTATACTCACCTAATATTCTCATGTCTAATTTATTTTTGTGGAAAAAGTGGACAGAAGTTTATATAGCTATATTGAAGTATTTTTTTCAAACGTATAAACAGTCAACAGTGGTGACAAAAGCTATAGTTCACATTAGTAAGAATAGGTAAAACAAAAAGTTCTTAGGCTCAGACTGAGAAGTATAAATTTAATTGTGAAAACACCACTTCAAGATTATGGTAAATATCAGAGGTTAAATATATCCACAATAGTTGAGAAAGCAAAGGATCCACTTTCACACAATGATATTCAAAACAAAACACATTGTATATTGCACAATGAACAGAAATCCCTGAATAATAAACAGAAACACAGGGTTGTAATGTGTTATGCTAAGTCATCTTTTGATCAGTTATCTTTCCTCATGCCTACTGTGTGGCGAGAGAGAAAATAACTGGAGGAGGTGGGACAGACTTGATGCTAAAAGGTTAGGTATACACATGATATTATGAGAGTGCTTTCAAAAACATTTGCAAGTATCTGAATTTCCTGAGCCCAGTGCAGCGAATAATTGATGCAAAATGTGAAATGCATCAATTTAATTCCAATGCCACACATTAGTCTTGGAATAAACTTAGAAGCAATGACACATTCACAAATGATTTCCAGGTGTGGGCTGTATTTTTCACTTCAGAAAAGTAAAGCAGGAAGCCTTCAGCTTAGTAGGGAATAACCTGGCTTTCACTCTGCAGTACTTGGGTTTGGAACTCAGTTCCAACTCCTGACTTAAGATTTCTGCTAAAGAGCACCCTGGGGAGGTTGTGGCGGTAACTCAAGTACTAGGCCTTGAGTTCCTGGTTTCTGCTGCCAGACCTGGCTAGGCCTGGGCATTTGAGGAGTGAACTAGCAGATGAGAGATTCTTTCTGTATCTGTCTTCCTCTCTGTTTCTTCTCTGTTTCTGCTTTTCTGGATGTCAAATTTTTTTATTGCACCAAAAAACCTTTAAACTTTTTTAGAAAACAAGAGAAAGAAAGAAAGAAAGAAAGAAAGAAAGAAAGAAAGAAAGAAAGAAAGAAAGAAAGAAAGAAAGAAAGAAAGAAAGAAAGAAAGAAAGAGAGAAAGAAAGAAAGAGAGAAAGAGAGAAAGAAAGAAAGAGAGAAAGAAAGAAAGAAAGAAAGAAAGAAAGAAAGAAAGAAAGAAAGAAAGAAAGAAAGA